GTGTGTGTCCATTGTTTCTTAACAGGAGTATATTTGGGGGCCCGTTAAATGTTTGTCCTTGTTCCGGGAATTTTCCCCAAATTTTGGGGGTATTTTTCCCCTTTTCCCCTTTGCATCATTTTTCCCCCGTAAATCCCCTTAAAAACCCCCCCTCCCAAAAAACCCCCCCCCCCCCGCGCTAATAAGCCACCCCCTACTCAAGGGAAGAAATTTTAACCTCCCCGTCTCTTTCAAGCCTCCCTTCCCCTACCCCTTTTTGTTTTTTACTAATGAATGATATACTGTATTAATCAATCACGACCTTAAAACTTCATTTGGACTTATCCTGAATGATTTATTCACATGTTGCAAGTTCGGATTTATTTTTAATCCTCGGCTTAAATGACCTCCAATTTCTTGTTCTTGGGCTTATCCACTTTGCATTCTAGTTTATGGAGAACTGAGAAAACCATCTTCGCTGAATCAAATAAGCCCCACCCCGGCCCCTAAATAAGGCCCCCGTCTCTTTTAAGCTTCCCCTCAAACGTGTTTGAAATAGATAACCACCCTTGGGGGTGAGGAAACTATGCAACCGGAATGTTTCCAAGGAACAAAAAGGTGCATTCGGCGAGATTTGTTACTAAATCGACTAATTTTTTTTTTTTAATTGAACTAATCACAGGTTGGCTTCTAAGACCTATATTTCGTCTTATACTTACTGGTTCTATTTATTCTAGATACATGTACGATGGAATAGAACACTTTTACTATGCTCAGAGTTATGAGAGCTTATATGAGCTATGTACTGCAATGGACAAAAGGACTAATGAACTAAAACATTTACAAATGATAGGCTCTGGTTTCTTCTGATGAAGGTAGTTCAGAGCAAGAGCTACATCCAGACAAATGACGGCTATTTCTGTCTCGGAGAGTTGCCGCTGATCTAACAAAGTGCGCAGACTTTTCTCCATCAGCTCGGTCACAAACAGAGGGTTTCCCTCATCATTTGTGGCGCTGATAAACTGTAGTAAGTGAGGATGGCGGCATTTAGAAGCGATATTCATTTCTCTTTCAAACAGATTTTTTTTATGAGGGGAAAGAATCAACTCATGGATTTGTTTCACTGCCACAGTACAGACACAATACGTTCCCTCACTGACACTTCTCCATCCTCCTCTCCCAAGGCATTTCTCTGTGATTTGAATTTCGTCGCGAGGAATAACCCAGTCACGTGTTTCCTGGCTGCGCAATTGATTTATTGTTTCCTGTGCTGTTGAAAGACTTAACTGTAGTTCAGAAACTTGTCCTCGGCAATTTCTCAACTGCTGTCTTGTCTCCCTCAGTTGCCTCTGTAAATTTTCTTCGCGTTGCTGCAACTACGTTAGCCGCCTTTGAGAGTTTTGTTCCCGTTCCTGATGCTCTCTAAACTGCCTTTGTAAATTCCCTTCTCGCTGCGCCATCTCTCTTAACTGTCTCTGGAAATTTTCTTCACGTTGCTGAGAATCTCTCAACTGTCTTTCCAATTCTGAGGCTCGCCTTTGCGAGTCTCCTTCGCCTAGATCTTGCATTCTTTCTGAAAAGAAAAAACAAAAAAAGAAACAAAGACAATAAAAGTCACCTAAGTAACATGGGTGGACATAAAAGTTCCAAAGTGTAGCATTTTTTCGAAGATATAAGGCCCGTTTACACGTTAAAAGAGAAGGAACGGCTCGGTTAGAAACAAGTACCGGTTCCAGACGAAATCTGCTGTTTACACGTACAAATTCTGTAATGTAACGGACAGAAAAAGGCACGGTACTTGAGAGCCCCTTGGAAAGGGTACTAGACTGTTTACACGTTGTTTTCTTCGAAACCGGTAACGATAGAGCCCGCGATAATTAAATAAAACTGCTTCGATTAGTTGTTCATATGCGCTTACACATTGTCTAATTTCATACCGCGCGGGAGCCTGGCATTACCGGATTTTCCCGGACTTTTTAAATTCCGGATTCAAAATGGCTTCCAAAACTAAGGGTAATGCAGAGGTCATTGCGTGCAGTTGAAACGATATTAAAGGCCAGATTACCCCAGAAAGTTAATATTCTACAGCGAAGCACAGTTGTTTTACTGGTATGAAGAACTTCGATTAAAAACCTTGAGAAAAGAAAGGTCAAATCGGAGACTTTCGCTACTGGGAAGTATTGGAAGGATTCCCGAATTGCTCGACAAAAAATTTGAACAAAGAACCGTTGCATTTAGCTTTTTTTACGGCTCTGGATCCGACCGAATATTGGGGAATGATAAGAGAGTGGGTGTACCTGTTTTTACAAACCGTAAATTAAAGACTACAAAAAGGAAAACACGCCAGGGTGATCCTGAGGCTGGCAACATCGTATTAGGCCGGCAAGGATTACATTAGGTTTTCCCTCCGTCGCTGCGTACGGTCTCAGTAAAAAATCCTAAAGATCGGACCAGAGACAATTCTCACTGAACATAGATGAAAGCAAGTATACTTCAGTCTTAAAAGAGAGGCATTTCTCCTCCGGTGACACTGCAGTTCCTGTGACCAGTCAGACCTCATGCATTGAGCAATGTTATAATACAGAAGTAATTTTTCTTGGGGGATAATTTGTATATAGTATATAGTTATTTCTTGAGGCCCCTGCGTGTGATTCTGTACCTTCCAGTTCCATTGCAATTCTAGTAATTTATATAGACACTACTCAAGACGTGTTTAAATTCATTGGCAAAATGTGAAATGGCAATGGCTTACAAGGGCTCTCTTGTTGAGCTGCCTCTTTTTGGGACTTATTGAGTCTACGATCATCAGGTGGAGCATGCTTACAATTTGGGGTAATCACCTTGTAATTCAATCAAGAATGTCACGTACATCTTCCTTTTTGGCTAACATGCACTGAGTATAGACTAGTCCCTTGTTCTCTTGCGTGTGATTTAAGAACATTAGGTTTAGCATACATAACGCCACAAAGTTCGCTACACTCAGTACCTTTCACGGACATCTCTGTTTTCGGCGACGGGAATAATCCAGGTAAGCCCTTCTGTACTGCCCTTTTAAGTCTTTGCTCCAGTATACTTATAGGCTACGATCGGTACATACACAATCACATCTGTGTTCTTGCCTCCAATGATCCTACTTTACAGAAGTCGGTAGAATTAAACAGACGATCCTTTGCTGTCGAAAATTTATAGTCATCTTTGGTTCGAGCGACCTGTTCATCGAACAATTGCTTGCACTTGCAGCTGAGCGTCGGCTCCTTAAGTTTAGCTTCTCGGCATGAGAAATACTGCATTCTTTCCTTACTAAGTTTAGGCAGATTCTCCGAGGGAATATTGATCAATATTTCTTCGAAAAAGAATGCTTTCATTGGAGTTTTTGCTCTGCGGACTATACTTTGACTATCCGCCATTTTGAAACGGGACTTTTTAAAAAGTCCGGGAAAATCCGGTAGTGCCAGGCCCCCGCGCGGTATGAAATTAGGCAATACAGTAGACTGTGTGTATCTCCGACAATCATGGATGCAGGTCTACAAGCACTTTTCTGGTTTCTTCTAAAGAAGAGAGCACAAAATTCACGTTTGACAGTGCGTGCGATTCTTCAAAGAAGTGCTTCTGAAAGAATGTACCGAATCAGGAGAAAAACAAGGCTTACGGTTTGTCCTATTAACAGCCCTTGTATCGCACTTCACAGTCGAAAGGAGCTTGTGGCAAATTCCAGGAACAAGCGCTTGGTTTGATCTTGCATACAGCACTTACTCTGACGATCAATGGTATGCTAACTTTCGAGTATCTAATTTCTTCTTCTAACACGTATGTGAAGTACGCTATACAACTGACGTAGAGCACCACGGGCTCAGAAAAAACGTAACAGAAAGGTACCGAAAAAAGGGCGAGCGTTTACACGTTGAAAAGAAAACAAAAAGTGCGGGTACGGAACCGTTTTTTTATCGTTTCCTAACTTGTTTCGGGATTCTCGAATGAACGCCGCACGGTTAGTTCTAATGATCGACCCCTAAACAGTTTTATTTGTTACATTCTGCTTTGTAACATTTCGCGCAAAAGAAGTTGTTACGTTTTGCGCTAAAAATTTGTAACACTTTACCTCATATAATTGCTATAATTTGTACAAAAATTGTTGATGCTTAATGTTATAACATTTTGCGTTAATTTTATCAATTATAATGTTTTGCGGCCTAACAGACACGGAAAGGCCGAAAGCGGACCAAATTAAAAAGCGTTTAGAACGCAACTTTGTTTAACACCGTTTATAAAACTCTGTTTTTATAACTGGCTTATCGTTGAGTCTGGATATTTCACACAGAAATTTTTTATAATACAGCCCCTTTATCCTTGCACTCTGCATGTACAGAGGTTTAACCATATGTCTTTAAATTCAAAAACCAAGACCTACAGACTATTTAACTACCCAGACTACATGTACCTGTACGGGTTTAACCATTATCCCTTAAAATTAAAAACCAAAACCAAACTAACTAGTCACACCATAAGCTTGGGCTGCTGCCTGTATCCATACATATGTATTGGTTTAAACAAATGCCTTTAAATTCAAAAGCCAAAACCTAAGTTACTACTTACACAATAAGCTTGGGCTGCCTGTATCATTGTCTGACTGCCTGTACTGGTTTAACCACCAAACTAACTATAAACTATAAACCAGACTAACTTATTTATATATTATATTCCATTCACGTGATTTATAGTAATATCGAGTATCACTATCACATATCATATCATACTACACTAGCAAAAAAAAAAAGAGGCTGCATATTCTACGTGTCCTCAAACGCGGCGGAGTACCACCTACCGATCTACTTAAGGTTTATTTTGCGCTCATTAGGTCTGTCCTTGAATACGTTGTCCTGTGTGGCATAGTGCCCTCCCCGTCAAACTATCAGATAGCATCGAGCGAGTGCAGAAACGGGCGCTGCGCATCATCTTTCCTGCACTGCACTACCAAGAGGCCTTAGCTACTACCGGGTGTGTATCACTTCACACAAGAAGAATGGGGTTGTGTAGCAAATTATTTACAAAGATAAAAGAGCCCGAGTCCCGTCTTCGCCATCTTGTTCCACCGACTCGGTCGCAGGCTCACGGCCGCTCCCTTCGCAACAAAGACAGACCATCCCTTATAAGTTGCAAAACTGAACGTTTAAACGAAGCTTTTTTTCCGGCGACGTGCCTTAATGCTCATGCCATGTAATTTAGGAACGTATGGGGATTCAATGTATAACTTGATATATATTTCTAGTTTCTAGTTTTTTATCTAATTTATTGTATTATATCTTCTCATAATTGTAAGGCCCAGTCCATTTTGAACACGATGTAATTAGTTTAAATTGAATTTTTTTTAAATTAATATCTATATCTTTGTAAAATAATTTCGCAATTCGCTTATTTCTAAGCGCGACGATTTTATTAATAAACCAGACTTATTTATTTATTATTTACAACTACTGAACTCTCGCCATAAGCTTGATCTGCCTGTATCTATACACTACATGACGTACATTCAGCTAGAGGTTCAACCTTGTGCCTCTTTGTTCCAAAACCAAAATCAAAAAAAGTATTGGAAGTTACATTTCATACTCATACTCATACTCATAGTCTTACCTTTGATAGAGGCGGGCATCTTTTCAATAAAAAGCTGAAGCTCATTCGGATCAGCATCTTTTAGTTGAACAGTTTGTCCTTTTGGACCCGTTGACACTATCATCCAGCGCTGTAGTTCACTGATTGTAACTGTATCCTTGGTGACCCTCATCGTAGATTCAGGAATAATTTGAAACTAAAACGGAAAGGATCAATAATGGTATGATTTAAGCAAATATAATATCTTCAAACCTGTATAATTAGCGGTCATCCTTGGGAATCGCGTACTCACCGCTACAGGTTGAGGGGTTTCCAAACATAAGAGTCATTCAAGAAAATGGAGATGGTGAAAGAGCGACATATTTCACTGATATCTATCCCACGTTAAGTTGACCCCATTAACTGCTTCTAGCCTTCTTCTGCTAAAAGCCAAAAGGAAGTAAAAGCAAACTTGCCAACTCTCACGACTTGAGTCTCACGATTTTAGGACCTGTCTCACGCTCTCACGAGTTGACAACTGATTTTTAATGCTTTGAATTCTCGAAAAGTCAAACTCCCAAAATATTTTGAGCTGTAAGGTTTGTTTCCAAGTTAGGTATCAGTAGATTGCCAGCTCAACCCAAACAATTTTCTTTACTGTTTTTCTTATTTCAAGATGGTGCCAACAAAACATAGAAATTACCATACCTTCATTGTGAAATTGATCGTGATGTTTACTGCTCCAGCTTTAAAGTGATATAGTGACTTCCAAAGGTGAAAGTACGTGACAGGGAATTCTCCCAGCCACGGTTTTCTCCCTTCATTTTTTATAAGTGTGATGTCACCACCGGGATTACTACTCTCTCTGTAACCTGTCGGACCAGCTCCACTTTTTTGCAGATTTTCTCTTTTGTAGTTCGCTCGTTTCGCCTTACCCAGGCGAAAATGGTCTACGGCGCAAGCGAAACGAAAAATACTGGCT